ACAATAATCTGGGACCCTGGCAGAAAACAAGAGATGTTTCCTAAAGCACATTTTATCCACATGACCCAATGTTTATTTGGGTCAGTGACCCAGCCAAATTTAAAAATCCAGGCAGTCCTCACTTACTGATCACTTGTTCAGTGACCATTTGAAATTGCAGTGAAGCTGAATGAGTGCTACCTACAACTGGTCCTTGAAGTTCTAACCATTGCACCACCTTCCGGCCATTACACCACCTACCAACCCACAAGCAAAGTCAATGGAACAGCTGGTAGAGAAGGTCACATGTCATTCTGCTAGGTTCCTCTGGCCTCTGTGCCCTCACCAATCATCCTGCTTCCCCCAGCCTCCCTGCATTTCTCCCAGCCTCCCTACACTCGCATGGTGGCACACCCTGCTTCCTTTGGCCTCCCTGCATTTGCACAGTGCTGCACTTTCTTACCTCCTTGTGGTTGTGCATGGCCTGCACTGGGTCTTCCTTGCCTCCATACCTGCTCCCCATTTAACAACCTGCACTTCCTTGGGGTTGCAATGACAACTGGCACTGCCAGGATTGCTACTAAGTGATGCTGTCACCTGATGTGCTTTACAACCACATCATTTAACAAAACAATCCCAGTCCGTATTGCCATCGTAACTTAAGGACTTCTATATACAACACAAATGGTTGAGTTAAAACATCAACGAGTCTCTATAATAAAAAGTATAACATAAACTACCAAAATGAGACCCATAGTGGTTAATGCACTGGCCTAAAAACTGGGAGACTGTGAGTTCTAGTCCTGTTTTAGGCATGAAGCGATCTGGATGACCTTGGGCCAGTCACTAACTTTGAGCCCTAGGAAGGAGACAATGGAAACCCTTCTGAAAACCTTGCCAAGAAAACTGCAGGGAAATGTTCAGGTAGTCATCAGGAGTTAAAACTCACTTGAAGGAACCAAAAATAAGTAATGAAAGGTTTCGAATCTTCTAGAAGATTATTTGCATAGAACTAAGGAGAAATTTCCTGACAGTTAGAACAATTAATCAGTGGAACAACCTGCCAGAAGCTGTGAATGCTCCAACACTGGAGGTTTTTAAGAAGAGACTGGACAGCCATTTGTCTGAAATGGTATAGGGTTTCCTGCCTGAGCAGGGGGTTGGACTAGATGACCTCCAAGGTCCCTTCCAACTTTATTATTACTATTAAATCCTCTGACTCTTTTTGGAATGTACATATTATTAAGGACAGAGTGTAAGTGGACCTAATATTCCTATAGAATTTACAGTTCAAGAGATCCTGCATTGAAAATCCCAATGCTAACACATACTTAGGGGGGTCCAGTTTAAATTAAGTGCTAACCTAGTTTTTCCATTTTTAGAATCTGTTTTTCATGGACCACAGTCTCCTGCAACCTCACCAGGAAATGGTAGTGAGTCTCCACAAATAGCACAACCAAAGAAAATCAGAGGAGTTGGGTTTGGAGATATTTTCAAAGAAGGCTCAGTAAAACTTAAGCCGAGATTGTCTAGTAATGATTCAGAAGAAAAAAAACAAGATAAGGTAATGGGCCTAAATGATACACATTTCAAAATAGAGCAATTGTATATGTTGTGATAAAAAGCTTGGTACCTTGTGCACTTGTAAAAACAAAGTTGTTTGTTTTTTGATGAAGTTTATTCTGCCTCTTCTTAAGTTTCACAGTAACATTATTCTGCAGTAATGGGTCCAATGCATTGATACCTTTTTATCTTAAGCAGTTTACTGTATTCTCCAGATGTTTAAAATTCTATTCTTAGGTATAATTTGGGAAAATTTGAGAGCCAGTATGGTCTGTTTGACCAGGAGTGGGAAAACGTATGTTCTAGTCATCCTTAGCCACAAAAGTTCACTAACTTTGTCACAATCACTCTTAGCCCAAACCGCCTTTTAAGTTGTTATGGAATAAAGTGAGAGATCGCTGTGGATGCCTACTTTTCCCCCTGAGTTAAAGATGGGCTATAGTAAAAAATCCTGCATAAACTATCATTTGAAAACTATCATACTTGAAAAGAGATTATGGGGTTTCAAGAGTAGGGCAAGCTGCAGCAAAGAACTCATTGGGAGTCAGGCAAATTGAATGGATTCACTAAAAGGAAACAAAAGCTTTCAAATGCCTTTTCATGTATATACCAGTAAAATAGTACATGAGCATGGCAGTAGAAATGGCAGGGGATGGGTGGGAATCTTCCATAGGATGACTAAATTTTTGAAAATCTGAAGGAAAAATATGAAAGCACTCACTTAGTCTGACTATTTGTTGGGTACATCAAGCAGTACAGATCGCTGTTCTGTAAATGATGGACTTAATTGCATCATTGGGTCAGCTGATGATAAAAGTATGTAAAGGCTTTTTGCTTCTACGTCCCAGGAAAAATAGCCCTTGTGTAGTTGTGCTTCCATTGCTCAAAATCCATTTGGGAAAAAGTTATAGTTTATGTTGTAGTTGTACCTTTTACCACAAGCCAAGCTAATTTTTAAAGGATACTTGACCTTTTTAAACATTATGGCCAACCATGTATAGACATTTGATCTATGCTTTTTTCTTATATGTAATCTCTATATTTTTAAAAAAATATGTTAAGTCTTCATGTGTATTATTGGGATTTATTATATATAAACACTTTACACCTACATGTTTGTGTATCTATATTTTGGCAGGAGTAATTGTAGTTTCTAATATAAAAACATTTGCAAAACGGACTTTAGAAGTCTTTTGCAGGTAGTAGAGCTTTGTTTTATTGCCGTGTGTAATTTCCTTCCAGTTATTCAAAGGTTTGTCCTGCCTTGTCTGTTTTATATGATTTCTTATATTTAATGTTGCCATCTGTCATTAGATGAAGCTGTTGTTATTCCAGTAGTGTTGAAACTTTAATAGCCATTAATAACATCTAATGACAAAACATGGAATGCTAATAAAGATGAAACACGTTAAAGTGCTAAATTTGGAGAAGATGAGCTGATAATCGACAGAAATCAGAAGGCTGGCTCAGAAAATAGATTATATCTAAATAAAATATGCTTTGACTTGCAGCCTATTAGTAGTCTTTCTAATAGATTGATAATATTTTCATTTAGAAGCAGTATATATTTCATTGCATTTAAATGCATTGAAAATAAATCTTTTATTAACTTCTTGTTCTGTAAGATTTATAACTTACAATTTATTCTTCTGAGCTGATTCAGAGATCACATATTAAAATACATTTGGCAATTGCCTAATTCTTGTTTTTATCTCCATGTTCTTGTGTAGCCATTACCTAATCTTCCATCTGGACCAAAAGTAACCTCGCTCCCTGGCACAACAAAATCAGAAATGGCAACAGAAATAGCAAAAGTAGAAATGGAAAGCAAACAAAAACGTATGATTTTATATCTACTTTATTTTAATTTTAAAATCTTTAAATATAAACTATGTGATAAAAAAAACTATTTGTCCTGGCTTTTTGAAGAAAATATTCTCACAACCTGGGCGAGGAATATATATCCTAATAGTAATTTCCATTTGACTTCACTTGTGTTTGAGTAGTGTAATCCTGCCACACAGCTAGAATCTACCTTCACAGCTAGAATATCTTAAGCATGACAAGGCATCAAAGCAAAAACGTGATCATAATTTTCCATTATAAATCTTGGTTTATCTAGTGGAATGTTAGATTTTCCCTTGACTTTGCTCTCCTTTATCTTTTCTGAACTGAGGACTTCAGTAAATCATTTCAATAACTTAGTTGCTATTATTTCTCAGCCCATGCCTTGTCTTATTTCAATTGCTCATAAACAAGGGGAAGGTCAAATACATACTCCTCCTATCCCATCCTAATGATTTTGTGGAGTGATTTTGTATCCTTTACTAGCATAGCTTTTAAATTATTAATAGCAATGTGCCATACTTCATGGTAAAGCAATACAGATTAAATACATAAAATATAGTAAACCTTGGACTGAAGTGTAATATTGGTTTAGTGGACTGTGAATACAATGAGCAGAATCTTTCTGTGATTCATATCTGTATATGTATTACCATAATTCTATCAGTGATTTTGTGCATGTGTAAAATATGCATGCATAAAATCCATAAAATGCATATGAACAACATCCAATTCCCATATGCATGTGCAAGATCCCATTCAGATTTAATAAACATTCCACTTTAAGTGACACCTGATCTCCCCATTAATTACTTATTATAAAATTTAGATATTTGTATTCAAGCAACAACCATTGGAATGTGCTCAGTGTTCACAACTTTCTTTCCTTCCTTTAAGCTAAAGAATACTGCAAAGCCTTGTTTCCCTATGAAG